TAAATCCTAACTAAGATTTTTTAGATTTTCAAGTCCCATTAAATTTTTAATAGTTGAAATTGCCCTTCAAATAATGCTTGTTCATCATTTTTGATTATCTCTAAAGGAACATAATGATTTGACATTTATTTTGATTTTCAAAACTTTAAAACACCAACTTTCAAATTTAAAAAAAAAAAAAAAAAATTTATGTGTGCAAAAAAAAAGTTTTTTTTTTTAAAAAAAAAGAAAAAATTGAATTTTTTTTTGTACAAAACTGAAATTTTTGTGTTTATAAAAGAGCATGATGATGGAACATCAATGTGCAAAACTTAAAAAAAAAAATAATTTAAAAATGAAAAAATTGTAATGTTTTCAGTTTTAAAATTGAAAAAAACTGATAATATTCTCAGATTTATTAGATAGTTGAATCAAACCAATAAGTAGAAGGGCAAAAATGTTTAATCTTAGGCTCTCTCTCTTTTTTTTTTTAATCAATTAGTGAAACAATTACATGGAACATTACTTAAGAAAATTGATAATATTTTTAGTTTTAAAAATTAAGAAAAATCGATAATATTATCAGTTTCACTAAATAGAACTTATTGGTTCAAAAAATATTAAATAGGATTTGAGCTACCATAACATTTGTAAATACGACTTTTAGATAATTAACTCTAGAAAAAAATAATAATATCAAGAAACGTAACAAAACTCTTAACTTTAGTGTGTTTGGTTTGAGTTTTCTGAATTAAGTTTTTTGAAAATTGAATTTTTTGTTTTTCGTAGTTTTTTGTTTTTAGTGAATATTTTTAAAATTTTAAGTATTTTATTTACTTTTCTAGATGCACCTTACTTAGATGTATCTAAAAAGTAAAAAAATTGTGAAAAAATATTTTAAAAAATTAATAAATACATAAAAATACAAAAACTATACTGAATTCTCGTATTTTTTTTGTATTTTTGGTATTTAGTGAATTTTTAAAAGGTTTTTTTCACAATTTTTTTACTTTTTAGGTATATTTATGTTAGGTATATCTAAAAGTTAAAAAAATTACTTAAAATATTAAAAAAAATCAATAAAAACAAAAAAAAAAAACGAAAAATAAGAAAGTAAAATTTTTTAAAAACTGTTTTCAGAAAAACGAAACCAAACAATAATATCAAGAAAAGTAACAAAACTCTTAATGATAACAAAACTCAAATGGGCAATTGACATGGACTTATGAGCCGAGCCCACGAATCAAGCCTTGAAAAGCCCATTGGACTGGGTCATGCGCTGGGCAATGGGTCGGTCTATACTTGGGCCAGCCCATGGGTCATGGACTTTTGATGAGGTTTAGGTTTATAAGACTACTAAATTTAAAACAATTCCAAAATCATTTGTCACAATTATAATTTTATTCTTTCACATCAATTATAATTTTATCGTTTGGTCACATATTTTACATCACAAAAAGAATGAAATTTTTTGTAACCTTGTACTATGGCCTTAGCAAAAAATTAGGAATAATTAAAATTTCATGTAAGATTTTAAAAATAATTTTAGATCAATGGTAAATTTTATGAGCATTAATAATTAAAGTCTTAAATTTTTTCATAAATTTCTAATTCTTTTGTAAAAATGTTACTCAATTGTAATTTTTTCAAAAACATATCATATGGGTCTGAAACACCACATGGCCATGTGATTTGTCCACATTTTTTTTTATTTTTTATTTTTTTGATTAGTATACAATTCCTATCATTCGACAAGTACAGCTAATATGGTGATTTGAGAAGAAACGATAATTAATTGTGGTTTACGACTTTGATGGAAACAATTTTGGTAAATTCTAAATACATTTGCTTAAAATATAGATTGTCTCATGTGATTCTAAAAATTATAAATATTCTATTATCATAATTTTTTATTTAACAGAATTAATGGAAAAAATAAAATTTCTAATTATTTTTTTATGCAATAATAAAATTATAATTGAAATATATTTATGATATTATTAAAAATTATTAATTAAATAATAATTTAAAAATAAAAGATGTCATCTATTATACAATCAGAAATTTGAAAGGGTGAGAGTAATTTCTACAACATGTCGAGATCGGCAACAAGGGTTGTTGACTCTATTGGAGGCGTTGGAAATCTTTATACTTGGAGATGCAGTTCGCCCAACATTCAATGGTTGGCAACAAGGTTCCCGAGTAAAGAAAAATTCATATTTGAAGCAAATTTCAAGAGTATAATTGTGAAGAAATTCTATTTCTACACACCATTTACTCTATGTGCACATCATTTCTTAGTGCACATACTTAAGAATGGCAATGAGGCGGGGCAGGGCGGGGCCGGGGATCACCCTCCCCGTCCCCAATCCCCGATTGTGAAAATATCTCCGGCCCCGACCCCGGCCTCGGCCCCGATCCCCGACAGGGAACCTACCAGTGTCCCCATCCTCGCCCCCCTAACAGGGATCAGGTTTCCCCGACCTCGAAAATTCCCCACCCCCCAAATCTTAATACTCTGATGAATGAATTAATAAATTGTCTTCTTTAAATAATGCATGTCAATGATATATAATGGGCTAATTTTGAGGGCGTTACAAACATTTTCATCATTTTCATCATTTTCATCACCAACAGATCTTCATCAACATCTTCATCTCCACCATTTTCCAGATCTGAAGAACAAAAGCAAAAAAAAGAGAGAGAGAGAAAGAAGGAAATCCGTGAGAGACAGAGAGAGAAGGAGATCCGTGAGAGACAGAGAGAGAAGGAGATCCGTGAGAGAGAGAGAGAGACGGAGATACCTACCGTGAGAGGGAGACGAGTCAGCGGTGAGGGAGCTCTGTGGTTGTGTGTTAAGAAAGTGAGAGTGAGAGAGAGAGAAGAGAGAGAGGGGCCAGACCAGATGATGCCTCTGTGTTGTTTGTTGTGCCAACTCACACACCACACACATATATATCCTGTGTTATGTTTGTACCAAACACACACACCACACACACATGTATATTATATATATATAAACACACAACACACATTTATATCTGGGGTCGGGGTCGGGGCCGGGGTTGGAAAATGTATCCCCGTCTCCGGCCCGAACATCATCGGGGATTTATTTTTAAATACCATCCCCGGCCCGTCGGGTGTATTTTTCGGGGAAAAACCGCTCAATTCGGGGTCGGGGGGTCAAGTTCCCGTCGAGCCGGGTTCAAATTGCCATCCCTACACATACTTATAACTTTGTTTACCTTTTGTGTTACTCATTCTACACTCCAAATGTTCCAAATATACCCTACGACATAATGTATGCACACATCAACACAAAAACTCATCACATTATGTACATACACCACACAAAACATAAACTCACGCCACACCCCTAAACGTAAATTTAAATTGTACCCTTCACATATGGCATTTTTTGACACTTTCCGACAGTAGTTCGACATTGTTTTACTATTTTTGTTATTCATTTTGTATTGACTGAGGAAGAGAAGGAAAATTGTTAGTACTAGTGTCCGAATAAATTTAAAAAATTCAGCAATCAACAACCAAACCCCTAAACGTAAATTTAAATTGTACCTTCACATATGGCATTTTTTGACACTTTCCGATAGTAGTTCGACATTGTTTTACTATTTTTGTTATTCATTTTGTATTGACTGAGGAAGAGAAGGAAAATTGTTAGTACTAGTGTCCGAATAAATTTTAAAAATTCAGCAATCAACAACCAAATAAAACAATAAATTTGGGTTATGTATTTCTGAATAAATATAAATTTTCAACATACAACTATTGAACCATAGAAAATTTTCGTAATTATACTTATGAATTAAATTTATGTTTTTGAATTCGTATTTTCAAATCATTTATATATTTCAGTTCTATAGTTTCGAACTATTTACATATTTTCGGTTATATTTTTTCGAATGAGATTTTAATTTTTTTTTTCATACTCTCTATTTACATATTTTCGGTATAATGTGTTTATTTTTTTAAAAGATATGTACTAAAAATTTTCATGTTCAAAAGATGTCTACTGAGAAAATCTAGTTTTAAGGTTTGGTATGGGTATTGATAACTATATTGTTCATTTTGTTTAATGGTAAAATTGTAAAAAAAGAATGAAATTTTTTTTTTAATGTGTGTGAAAATAGAACTACCCTAATTGGGCCTTTGTTTTAAGTAGATAGCCCTAATGTAAATAATACTAAAACCGCAAGCAAACGCACAACACAAACCTTCAATTGTTCAATTCATGTGCAGATCTAGTTTGGGTTTTTTACTGGCCGGTCCTACCTTTTATGCTTATTCCCGTCTTAGTCCTGAGTTTTTCTCTTGTGCACCAACAAGTCTTGAGCTTTTTTATTTTGGTACCGTTTTACCCCTCCCCGGTTTTGGCGCGTTTCTGTTTGGAATTTACATCAAAATATTGTGTTGTGAGTATGGGTTTGTGATTTGGATTTCTGTGGAACTTCACGATTTTCTAATGTATTATTGTGGAGCTTTGTGATTTGTGATTTCGCGCTTAGTGTATCTTCGCGATTTGTGATTTGCGATTGCGTGCTTGGTGAATCTTCCTATTTGCGATTTCGCGTTTAGTGTATAGTTACATTTTCTGATTTACGATGTTGTGGAGTTAGGTCGACTGATATGCTTGATTTTGATTTCAATTTCAATGTTTTGGTTCTTTTTAGTTTGAGTTGGTGATTTTGATTTTGTTGTGATGTTGTTGTTACTTTATTGTTTCTGTTGTGATTGAATTTGTATTTTGATCATGATATTGAAAGCTTTGAGATATGTATATGTAAAGAATTTTAGATTTTTCTTTTTTTTGGTTACAAAATTGTCTTGATTGAACACAGGTGCTGGTTTGTTATTTTATACAATGATAATTTTATCACTGAGTATTTTGGGGGTGTTGTTGGATTAACTTTTTCAACAGTGATAAATTTATTAGTGAGTATGGGAATAGGAGATGAAAAGGTTGCATAATGTAATGGTAAGATTCAAATCGAGTTACGATGTCTAATAAGTGTAAGCCTTATTCACTGCTCTTGGTCTTTGATGGTATTAACTGTTAAAGTTATTAGTGTTGGTTTTTGGATGTGCTTGAGTTGGTTGATGATTTTATCCCTGCATTTGATTTTGTTTTAGGGTGTTTGAGTTGTTTGCTGAAATATAATTGTTGTTTGTTGCAGGATTTATAGTGATGAAGAATTGTTTGTTTCTTATGTGCAAGTTTAGAGGTGTGACATTGGTTATCAAGTACATTGATGGATTTAATTTCAATGATTTAGTATATAAATTGTGTGCAAAGTGGAGTGAGTTAGTTGGTAGTTCTTTGAATATATCATATTCAATGCCTGGACATTCTTGTTGTAGTCTACAAAGTGAAGAGGATTTGGAGGTTATGGTTGGATTTGCACTTTCTTGTGATATTCATCGTATTGATGTTTTTGTAAAGTGTTGTTCTATGGGTGAAGGTTATATGATTTGTGATGGTGAAGCTAGTAGTGGTAGTAGTAGTGTTGTTTGTGAAACTAATTTTTTGCCTTCATTTTATTCAAATCAATGGAAACCTTTGCTCTCCGATGGGTGGGTTAATTGTATGAAAGGAGTGGGACAAAGGTTTGCTCAAGGAGTTGTTGAATTTCGAGATGCGTTGTCAAAGTATTCTATTCATTCCGGTTTTGATTTTGATTTTGTTAAGAATGATAAGGATCGTGTCACTGTTCATTGTAAGAGAAGGGCTGATTTGGGATGTTTATGGAGTGTGCATGCTAGAGTGGAAAATTATAGTAAAGCTTTTGTTATTAAACAATTTGATGATGTTCATACTTGTGGATCTTTTTTTCGTACAGTTAAACATGCTAGGATGACTTCAAGTATGATTGGTGGGCTAATTTCAAGTGATATTCGTAATAAGGCTTTGACATCGGTTAATGAGGTGGTTTGTGATTTCAAGGACTATTATGGAACAAAAGTTTCTTATCGGCGAGCTTGGATGGGTGTTGAAAAAGCAAGGGGTCTTGTTTTTGGTGACTATTCATCATCATTTGACGATCTTCGTTGGTATGTTGATGCCGCTAATGATTGTAATCCGGGGAGTGTTTTTGATATGGAATTTGATGTTGATAGTAAAGGAAGATATTTCAAATGCTTGTTTTTCGCTTTTGAGGCATGTATTCATGGTTTCAAGTATTGTCGGCCTGTGTTGATGCTTGATGGAACTTTCTTGAAAGGAAGACACAAAAGTTGTTTATTAGCTGCTACGGCAAAAGATGATAACCAAGGTATATTCTGTGTCTATTTGTTATTATTATTAAAATAGTGATAATCTATAATTTTTGTTACTGGAGAGTGTTGATTATTGAGTATTATTGATAACGTGTATATATATTTTGTTTGTAGGTTTATATCCGTTATGTTTTGCCATTGTTGATAGTGAAAGTTATGATAGTTGGCATTGGTTCTTGTCAAAGTTATTTGTTATTTTGACTCCGGGGAGGGATATTGCGTTTGTTACTGATCGGCATGGAGGTTTGCTGAAAGCTTTAGCTGAGGTCTTTCCGTTTTCTTCTCATTCTTTTTGTCTAATGCATTTGAAGACAAACTTGAAGACTTATTTGTCAGCGAAGAGTCGTGAATCTGAAGAGTATTTGCTTACTCTTTTTAGTATATGTGCATATGCTCCTACTATTGAGTTGTTTAATGAGCTATTTGAAGAATTTAAGGGTCGTTGTGGTCGTACTGTTGAGAAGTTTCTTGAGGATTTGCCTAATGAGTGTTGGTGTAACGCTTATTTTCAAGGCAAGAGGTATGGTGAAATATGCACAAATGCTGTGGAATCTTTAGATTCATGGATTAGGGATGAACGCCATTTGTTTTCAACTAGTCTTGTTGATGCTATACGGGTGAAACTAATGGAGCAATTTTCAAGAAGGAGAGAAGTTAGGAATAAGTGGAATCGTATTATTTGTCCTTTCACAGAGAAAAAGTTGGATGAAACTTTTAATGATACAAAAGCATGGATAGTTAAGAAATGTAGCGATGACGTTGTTTGTGACGCCCCGAAAATTGGACATGATATATCTATTTATGCAACAAAACCCACCCGATAGACAAACACACACACACACATATATATATATATATATATATAGCTAACTAATCCATATGCCCATTTCCATTAAATCCCAAATGCCAAATACATATTGTTCACATCTCAGTGCCCCAGTTCTAATCCCAAACATGTAGTTTATAACAAGTATGAAGTGGAAGCCAAACAAATAATAAGTGCCCTACAGGCTTACAAAATTATCCAAGAACATTCTTGGTTACACAAAATGGAGTTTCAACTTAACACAAATACAACCCCTGGGCTTACAAAATAGAGTCATGCAAAATGAGAGCATTGTACTCCCAACACACGTACTTCCACGCCCCTAGTTGGGTGGAATCACCACATCTTTTCCTGCACAAAAATCCTGTAGGGTGAGCATAAAGCCCAGTTGAAAATTCTTAACAAAGTATATACATTTTATACAAGTCTCAAGAGATGAAATGCACATGCCATGCTATGCCCTTTTTGAAGATAAATTACATTTTTATCTTTTGAAAACCGTCATGCTGAATGATGTCATGCAATTTCAATTGTTCAAAACTTAACAATTTATTTCAAGGGCGGTAAATACGTCTCTGGTAATCCCTAGGCTGGTGTTTGCAAGTAGACTATATGAGTACTACCAAATTTTCCTTTTTACCGGTATTAACCGGAAGGCTCGACACCTACCCGCGCGGATTTTTTGGTCTTTCACCCCGGACCTGCAGGCCAACTTATTCGATATCATCTACACCACCTATCAAGACTTACCAACATATTTACCCCAAAACCATTTCATGAAAACTTATTTCTCAACATTCTTTTCTCAATGCAAGTTTTCAAATCAAATTTCAAAGCTCTTCATTATCAAATGAAGTGATATGCTAATGCAATAATTAATGATACAATCCAATATTTCTTCTACTTTCAATACTCCCACACAATATTCCCATTGTGATCAAAATTCTCATTTCTCACTTCAATGCAATTGCACGAGATGAATAAATACTTTTATTTCAATTCATCCAAGGGATAACACAATTTCCTCTTCTCAAGTATTCTCAACAATTTAGTCATTTCAAGACTATATCAACATTCTGAATAACCATTTCTAAAATGAACAACAATTCTCATAATCTATAAAATTAATCATTTATACAAATATAAATAAGAATTTTTTTGAACATCATTTATTTTGGCACACAAAAATAAATATAACAATATTACCCAGGGATTTTCAATCTCTTTTTAAAATCCCCAATTTTTAGGTTTTCTCACCAAACTACACAGCTCAAATCTTTTGAAAGAAAACTCTTGAAACTTATCTTTTCTTCAATCAACAAAGATCAAAACCCATAAGATTATTTTAAAAGAACAAGAGGTAAACCCACTTTCAAAAATCGCTCAACTTCCTAAATAAAAATAAATTTTCTGAAGCTATCAAAGGATGATTTCAAAAACCATCTAGATCTTGCAAAAAAATATATATATATATATATAACTCAAAGAAAATCCGTACCTCAAGTTTTAAAGAAGAAATGAGATGAAACCCCCAAAATCAATGGTGTCGAAACTCGATCTTCACCGCACAGAATGAAGCCCTCGAGGTGATGACCAACTTTGGTGAAGAACTTAGGCTTAAGTCGCAATGGATTTGGAGAAATCAAAGAGAAAAGGTGACTTCTAGAGAGAGAGCTCTAGATCAGGATTTTGGAGAGTTTTAGAGAGAGAGGGGGCTGCAAGAAGTGATATGAAACCCTAATTTTATGGACTGACATAACAAGGTCCGCTCACGCGTGGAAAGCCCCGCTCAAGCATCAAAGACACTTTCCCGTAAGCAATTTCGAATGCATTTTACATTTTTGCTTTCAGTGAGCTGATTGGGCATTTCATACTCGAGCGGACCATGTTATATCAGTCTGTAAAATTAGGGTTATATCACTTCTAGCAGCCCCCTCTCTCTCTAAAACTCTTAAAAATCCTAATCTAGAGCTTCCCTCTCTAGAAATCATCTTCTCTCTTTTAATTTCTTCAACTCCATTGGGATTTTTGTAATAGTTCCTTCATCAAAGTTGTATAACTTCTCGAGGACTTCGTTGTGTGAGGTGGATATAGATTTTCGACACCATAAATTTTGGGGGTTTCAGCTCTTTTCTTCTTCAAACTTGAGGTAGGGATTTTCTTTGAGTTATATATATTTTTGTAGGATCTAGATGATTTTCGAAATCACCCTTTGATTAGTTTTGAAAATTGATTTTCGATTCAAGAAGATGAGTGATGTTGAAAGTGGGTTTACTTGCTTTTTCCTTCTAAAAACAGAAATTTATGGTTTTGAACTATACTGGTTGATGAAAGTTGTTTTTGGGGAGATCCCTTCAAGTATCTTGGAGATGGTTGGTTTTGATGAGAAAACCTAGAAGTTTGAGTTTGAAAAAGATGTTGAGATTTTATAAATAAAATAGCCATATTTTTGTTGGAGATTAAAATGAAGGAATGTTTTGGAAAAGCATGATTTGTATTTATACAAATGACGAGTTTCATGAAATATGAAGAGTTTGATTTGTGAAGTTGTTATTCAGAATGTTGTTGTAGTCTTGAAATGACTAAATTATTGAAAATGCCCTAAATGTGGAAACTATGTTATTTCTTGGATGGATTGGAAATCTAAGTTTATATATTCATCTTGTAATACTATTGTTTTGAAAAGAGAAATGAGAGATTTGTTCACAGTGGAATTATTGTGCGGAAGTATTGAAAATGGAAGAAATGTTGTACTGCATTTAATCATTTCATGGGCATATCAATTCATTTATTATGTTGAGCTTTGAACGTTGATTTGAAAACCTTACATTGAGAAAAGAATGTTGGAAAACGGGTTTTCATGAAATGATTTTGGGGTAAGTATGATGGTAAGTCTTGAAAGGTGTATAGATGAAATTGATAAGTTGGCCTGAGTGTTCGAGGTGAAAGACCAAAAACCTGCGTGGATAGGTGTCGAGCCTTTCGGCTAATACCGGTAAAAATGACAAATTGGTAATACTTGTATAGAATACTTGCAGACACGTAACTAGAGATTACTAGAGTTGTATTTACCGCCCTTGAAATAAATTGTTAAGTTTTGAGCTATTGAAATTGCATAACATCATTGAGCACGATGATTTTCAAAAGATAAAGATGTGAATTACTTTAAAAAATGGCATAGCATGACATGTACATTTCATCTCTTGAGACTTGTATAAAATGTATATACTTTGTTAAGAATTTCCTACTGGGCTCTATGCTCACCCTACGGGATTTTTGTACAGGAAAAGATGTGGTGATTCCACCCAACTAGGGGCATGGAAGTGTGTGTGTTGGGAGTACAATGCTCTCATTTTGTGTGACTCTGTTTTGTAAGCCAAGGGCTGTATTTGTGTGGGTTTGAAAGACCGTTTTGTGTAACCGGGCTTAGGCCTTGGAAACTTGTAAACCCTTGAGGGTATCTATTTGTTTGTTTTATTTTGTTTTGAACTGAATGTATTATCGCATGAGAACTATTTGTATCATGTAATGCAAGTATGAGAATTTATTTCGGTTTTCCTTTAAAGAGCCATGATTGTTGTATTATCATTTGGGTTAGAAATTTGGGGCGTTACACAAACCGGGTTGAAATTGATTACGATGGCGACGAAAGAGAGTTCTCTAGTCTTCTTGGGCTAAATGTGTAAAGTAAGTTGATCATCCTTTATTATAAATATATATATATATATATATATTTCATAATATTTATTGGAAAATTTTATAATAAACATGTTAAAAAATAAAAAATAAAAGCGTATCATATGTCCAGTTATGATTTATCGGCTGAATACAATAAGTTGATCTTCCTTTATACAAAAAAAAAAAAAAAAAGGCAAATGTGGTGATCTCTATATTTTACTTCTTGTGTCATTTTGGTCTCTACACTATCAATTAGCTCAATTTTAACTCCTAATTTTAGATTTTATTAATTTGGTCCAATTAATAATATTGTTAGCCTTTTTAAGGACAATTATCACTAAATTGATTGAGGTTACCTAACTGAGTTGAATAAGTTTACAATTTAACCTTAAAAATACGGCACGTAACACTTATATGCACATTTCTCATTAAAAAATGCTAAGAGTTGTAATCAATTAAATGAAATTGAGATAAAATCATAAATTTGTGATCAAAATCGAGCCAATTGAAAGTATAAAGACTAAAATAATACAAGGGGTAAAGTCTAGAGACTACCGTGGTAATTTTCCCAAAATATATATAGGGTAATGCTATCATATACAAGTTATGTTATTTGTGAGTTTGATTATCATAAATGATATAACTCAATACTATGGGAATTGTAACCCCCCCCCCCCAAAAAAAAAAAAAAAAAAAAAAAAAAAAAAAAAAAAAAAAAAAATGAGTTACAACCAAACATCACATGAAGTATACCAAACAACTCTTAAATCATAACCGAAATAATTTCATAACAAATATCACAATTTATCATAACTGACAACACAACATGTCATAATCAAAGACAGAAAAGTGTAAACCAAAGCATAGAATTTCCCTATTATATATATGCATACATATTTCATAATATTTATAAGGGAATTCTATATAACACTTCAAAAAATGACGTATTATATGCCTTACGTTTTGTGGTCATTAGTTATGACTCATTTAGTTATAATTAATTACTGATGTTATTTTGGGTATAACCGAAGAAATCTTTGATAATACTTCAAGTGATATTTGATTATGATGCATTTTGGTGTTGATTATAACTTGTTGTAATATTGGCTATAATTTAATTATGACTTATTGTAATTGTTATTTTGGTTTAACTGAAGTATTTATTGGTTATATCTGAATGATATTTAATTATGATTTATTGCGGTCTTTCTGCTTATGACTGAAAGTTGTATTAAAATCACAAAAAATATGGTTACTCCAAAATAGGAGTGTGTTTTGTAGAAGCTTCTTTTATTTGGCATGTTTGGTGTAGTTGGTAAGCTAGAAGTTGATAACAAAAACATAAATTTTTTTTTTGAAAAAAAAAACCCCTTCTCCATGTCCTAAATAGTCTTTTTATGCTTTTAGTTTATTTAAATTATTTCGGTTATGTAATATATAATAAAAGGTTCACTAAACAATCTAACACATTTAATATATATATATATATTGTAAATAACTCAAATAACCTGTACTAAATACCCTATTATAATATTGCTGAACTCTTGGCACTAACAACTTTTTAATATATATATATATATATATATCTAGACAGGCAATTGGTATTGGCAGGCTGCAAACTTTTTTCATATTAGGACACTCTTTGCTGCCTTGGTGCAACTTGAGTTTAGGTTTAACTCTCTTACTATGGGCTATGTTAAAAAAATCATGAATTTGTGGATGGATTGTGGATTCAAATAAAAAGAAAATGAAAAAGATAAGAAGAAAATGAAGTAAAATACACTAAATTTATTTAATCTATTATTTTTCTCTTGACAAATATGCTATATAGAAATTTAATCATTTCAAAAGAAGGAGAAGAAAAGAAAAAAAAAAGGTGAAAAAAAGAAAAAAAGGTGAAAAAAAGTGAAAAAACAAAACAAAACACATTACACAATGTTAGGATTAAGGCACACTAGAAATCAGTCACACACACAGAAAAATGAGACAAGAGATTTACGTGGTTCAACAATTATCTACGTCCACGGGGAGAGATTTCAATATAAAATTTCCCGGAGGGAGTTTATAATACTCACACCTCACTCTCTCTATAGCACTCTCACTCACTTAGATTACACAAACACATAGTTTTTCTTCTCTTCCTCTCAACATCTATATATACACGAGGAGAGGGAAACAAAGTCAAGGAAGAAGACTTACTGAGCCAGCTGCCACCTGTCATCTTCCACCTGCCATCTTCCCTCATACTTCTTGACTTGGAGGTAACCTACAATAACTTCCTCCATGTGGACTGGAGCTAACAATTCTCCCGCTCCATGCCCATATGGATAATTGACTTCTCACTTGAAGTCCATCCCGGTCAGATTCTTGCAAACTTCTAGCTTATCTTTGGTGACAACCTTGGTCATCATGTCAGAAGGATTCTTGTCTGTGTGAATCTTCACTAACTCCGTCAGTTGTTTTTCCATCACTTCTCATATCCAATGATACCGGACATCAATGTGCTTTGTTCGTGAATGGTACATGGAATTCTTGCTCAGATTAGTTGCACTCTGACTATCACAATGTACCTTGTACTCTTCCTGCTGTAGACCCAATTTTTGAAGAAACCACTTTAACCACAATATTTCCTTTCCAGCATCTGAGGCAGCAATGTACTCTGCCTCTGTTGTAGATAAAGCAACACACTTTTGTAGTTTGGACTGCCATGAAACAACTCCCCTTACAAACGTAAACAAAAATCTTGATATAGATTTTCTACCATCAAGATCACCCACCATATCGGCATCAATAAATCCCTCCAAAATTGGTTCAGCTCCCCCAAAACATAGACACATCTTTGAAGTTCCCTTCAAGTACCGAAGAATCCATTTGACCACCTCCCAATGCTCCTTTCCTGGATTGACAAGGAATTTGCTCACAACGCCAACTACATGAGCTATATCTGGCCGGGTACACACCATTGCATACATCAAACTTCCTACTGTAGAAGAATAAAGGATTGCCTCAATTTCTTTCCTTTAAGAGCTAGTTGTGGTACACAAACGCTTTGTCACCTTGAAATGGTTGGCCAGTGGTGTAATGACTGGATTGACATCTTTCATGTTGAACCTTTCAATCACTCGTTCAACATATTTCTCCTGTGACAGCCATATCTTCTTGGCTTTCCTGTCACGAACAATCTTCATGCCCAAAATCTGTTGTGCGAGGCCTAAATTCTTCATGTCAAAATACTATGACAAGTTCTTTTTCAACTTGTTGATCATAGCAATATCTTGTCCGACAATCAGCATATCATCGACATATAACAGTAGGATAATGAAGTTTCCATCCAAAAACCTTTGGAAATATACACACTGGTCTGGTACTGTTCTTGTGTACTCATGATCCACCATGAATGAATCAAACTTCTTGTACCATTGTCTCGGCACCTACTTTAGGCCATAGAGACTCTTTTTCAGTTTGCAGACTAGATTTTCTTTTCCATTAACTTCAAATCCTTCTAGTTGCTCCATGTAGATCTCTTCCTCCAAATCACCATGGAGAAAGGCAGTCTTGACATCCATCTGTTCTACCTTCAGATTCAAGCGAGCTCCTAATCCCAGAGCTACTTGAATGGAAGTCGTCTTCACAACTAGGGAGAAGATCTCATCAAAATCAATTCCCTTCTTCTGCCCAAAACCTTTAACCACCAAGCGAGCTTTATGCTGTAATCGTT